TCTCCAGGCTAAACAACCCCAATTCCCTCAGTTGTTCCTCAAAGAGTTTGTCCTCCAGACCCCTCACCAGCTTTGTAGCCCTTCTCTGGACATGCTCCAACACCTCAATGGCCTTTTTATGTACTGAGGGGCCCAAAACTGAACACAGTACTCGAGGTGGGGCCTCACCAGTGCTGAGTACAGGGGGATGATCACTTCCCTAGTCCTGCTCACCTCACTATTCCTGATACAGGCTAGGATGCCGTTGGCCTTCTTGGCCACCTGGGCACACTGCCAGCTCGTATTCAGCCGGCTGTCCACCAACACCCCCAGGTCCTTTTCCACCGGGCAGCTTTCCAGCCACTCTTCCCCAAGCCTGTAGCGCTGCATGGGGTTGTTGTGACTCAAGTGCAGGACCCGGCACTTGGCCTTGTTGAACCTCATACCATTGGCCTCGGCCCATCGGTCCAGTCCTGCGAAGGAAGCGGCCACAGGCTCTTCTATATCCAAAGAAAATAAGAGTATATTAGGATTCAAATAAGAACTGACTGTGGGGACCTATTCTTCTAGGCTATGCAGATTTCTACAAGTAGAAATACCACACCTGCAAGAGAAAGGTAAGGGAAGAAACCCTATCTGTATGCACATACTATTACAATTTTTTGGTATGGTATTTATTGTAACATTTCCAGTCTGAAATACTGACTTAACGTCATGTACAGGAAGTCTTCAAACTGGAATTAAAACCAGTAATATTTAGAAGTATATGGTCTCCTTCAGCTATTTTTATTACAGTTATTCATATGTGGTAGTTATTTTTCCTTGTTCTACTCTAACTTTAAGCCCCGAGTTAAATTTAAACTTCTTTTCCTCACTTCTGATTCTAAATTCAAGTAGATTTAAACTTGGAATGCCATATACATCCAACTACAGCTGATGGAAGTCTCTGACAATTTGTCTTAAAGAGAAGCACAGCAATTTTGGCTTCAAGTTGTCCTAATTAGTCTTCCCATTAATGCTCACTGAAACATATGAGAAAATTCACACCACTTCTTAGAGCATATTGCTTCAGTCTGCCTTGACTGCAGGCTCAGCTGGAAGGAGAGCCAGTCTGCATTCTGAAACATCTCCTCACAACACAAAAAGCATGAAATTCAGAAATTTCATTGAAAATATGAGAGAATCTAGAAAGCATCATCGAACTTAAAAGATATTACTTATTCTGTAGTCATGGGAATAAGCCCCATCTGGTCAAATCCTGCCAAAGACTACTTTATCCAAGCAGCAGATTTTTGCCTTCCATACAGTCAGGGGTAAGCAGATGTCCAGTTCAGAACTAAGAGTGCTCTCTTCTCAGCATTACTCAGTTGTCATTTAATTGAGCTGGTATTTATTTGATGATTACACACACTCT